CCCCCCCCCCCCCTTCGGTTTCTAAAAAAATGAGAATTTTGACTAGCTGAATTATAGCTCTAAACCCTACCAGATGGCACCGTACACCCTCCAAAACACCATTTTTTCGGGGCCCGCTTGACCTCCGAGGCCTGTGATTCATGAAAAACCTACCGGGCCCCCTTCAAATAATCCTGGATCCCCCCTGTATTGGACTAACTGGTTTCTTCTATATCAGTCAGCGTATTTAATAATGTACAAATTAAATTACCCGAGTGTTAATTGGCATTGGGAAAGTAAAATAACTTCGGTCAATTAAAAACAGTTCAAAGGAATACTGATTAACACTTTGAGGAGGAATCTCAAAACAACGTTTCTGCTTCTCTGTACTGTCTCAATGTAAACTGCTGTATGAGTGCCTGTCGTGTAGTGACTGCATGCCACTGCACCCTTTTTCATAAATTCATGATAAAATCAGTAACGGGTCGTTTGTTCACTGTGATTTTATCATTCATCTTTGGATGTATTATATTGTTAGAGTGACTAAATGTAGGATATATTATCTAAAGAAGACATTGTGTTTGCAAGGAAGCGTCGGCAATACAGTGACAGTGTTTCCATGCAGTGGCGCAAGTACAGTAGCAATGTTACTTGGGAGTATTGGATGTTTTAGTATACAGTATGTCGCTAAAATCAACAAACAACTGAATTGTTAATCTGGAGGATATCTCACATTCCGAGGATGGGATTATGCATTTTAAACTACTTTTAAACAAACTCCTTGTTTATCAGGAACAAGCTTCGACTTATCTGGTGGTTGCGATTAGATGTTGAATTTATTGGAAAATTGATAACCACCTTGATATATGTGCATCCATGCAAATTATATATAGGAGTTCTCTGCAAAAACACGGGAAGCTGTTCTTACCACATTATAATAGTTCATGTACAGCAAAGGCCTCGAACGTTTTTCTCGTTTCCGGCTTCTGTTAACTAACATCTTGGACCCATTACTCATATATTAGGTCCAAGCAAACAGGAAGGGAATTTGCTAAAAATTTTGATTTCAGTGGATGGGGATTTAGATTAAAGAAATTTTCTTTTGACATTATTACAAAGAAAAAGTAAGAACGACGCAAGGAGACTTATTTCAATGTCTTTCAGTAGATAAAGAAACGCCAATGTCACCAAGGCAATGTGCACATCAAAAAGACTAATTATTTTGACATTGGGAGCTGATTTTACCCCCGGCCTGACAACGCTGCGTTAGGCAAGTCATATACCTTATCTCATTATAACCTACGAGTTTTTTGGAACATTGCAAAGGAAAAGTAATTTTGTACAAATGCACTTGTGTAACATCGTTATCTTCATGTACATTGTATAAAAGCTCTAACATATATCTCTCTTGGTACTGCTTGGAAGATAATGCACTGGCTTTGACTATCCGACCAGGACCATAACAAATGCCAATGGCGAGGCTAAAGGCACGAGTGATCATCTACTCCTTGATATCCAGTTAGATAACACATGCACGTTCCGACAGATTTGAAGGTGTTTAGAGAAAAAATTCACGACCTTTGACAGAAAGACTGAGCTGAAAGGCTTGTTATATCCGTGACTTGAGAGACAACAGGTGCCAGCAGAGATTTGAGCATGGGCACAACTTACGTTAATGATTCGAGAAAAGAAATACCCAACAAAAAGTTTCCAAGCGGTTTGGGATCTTGAAATTCTCACAGAAAAATTATTAACATTAGAGTATTTAAGAGCACCCAGACACCATGGAATTGGGCTACGAGGTATCGATGATTACTATACAGGCGGTCCTGATAATATTGATCGGGTTTGGAAACATTTTGGTCATTGCTGCATATTTTCGAAGCGAAAAGTTGCAGACCACGACGAACTGGTTTGTAGTTCAGCTGGCCGCCGCTGACTTGCTGGTCGCACTGGGGATGCCTCTACAAATTGCCATGTTTATCCGAGACGATGTTGTCCAAGATCTACACGTGTGTATTATCCGCTATAGTTTGCCCATGAGCTCGATAACCGGTTCGGTACTTTGTCTTCTAGCTATAAGCGTGGACAGATATGTCTCAGTTATCTACCCGTTTTACTACAAGAGCGTGAACGTTCTGACAGCCAAAACTAAAGGACTCGGTGTTGTCTTCGTTTGGGTGCCCTCTGCATTTGTGATCGTTACGGTTCACTTTTTCGGGTTTGATGACAGGCGACCGGGAGACGTGGGGAAGAAGGAATGTGACTTACAGTACGTTCTGAAGCCAGACTTCATTAAATATATTGTACTGCCAGTGTTCATCGTGCTATCTCTAGTTATAATAGCGTTATATTCAAGAGTTTTCCACTTGGCTGGAAGGCACGCAGCGGCAATAGCTTCTCTCACGGAGCATCTGTCAGTAGTAAGTAACCCTCGACTGAAAAATAGCCCGCGGCAAATTCACAGGAAAAACATGAAGATTTTGAAAACAGCTGTAATCGTTTTAGGGATGTTTTTTCTGTGCATGGTACCTTTCTTTGTCGTTACGGGAATCCAGGTATACACGGACCAAATATTCTCCAAAACTTGGATGACCATACGAATGTACACTACAGTGCTATTAGTTTTGAACAGTGCCCTGAACCCAATTATTTACGCATGTCGTTTACAGAACTTTCGTAGAGAATTTCAGAAAATTCTTCGCTTAAATCGCAACGTGAACGCTGCCTCACCTCGTCCTATACGACGACTGGAGAGCGAATTAGGAAGTAGTGTTACTGTAAACATAGATGTGAGATGTAACTCTCAACCCGCTGTACGGCACCACATTTACTCTAAGACAGTAAGTGGCTTTTAACTGACTTGGATTTCAGGAAGAGTGGAGTAAGCCATTCTCTATTTTACAAACGACACGTATAAAAAAAGCCAACGGCAGGCAGTGTTAATTGTCAGTTGGTAGAGTTAAGTTCACAGTAACTAGCAGATATGCGTTGCTACAAGGACAGCCACTTCACAAACACTTCAAAGACTGGGTTCTCATATCTACATCGACCTAACAGGATCGATCCATCTCCGAGGGGTTTCTCACTTAATTACAATTAACTTAAGATGCTTAGATGGCTGTCACGCCTACTGAAGCTGCTTGGGGGTAATTTTAATTAAAATATCGTTACAGAAGTAATGACTATCAATATGGAATTATATAGCTCTCTTTATTCACTGTTTAAAATTAATAGGTAGCTAAGATATGGTGTAGATATGGTTTTAAATGAAGTAGAATGCCATATTGTAATGAATTATACGTTTTGCAAATGTGATCATCTGCTTTTTGTACTACTGGGTAGTGGTATTTGAGCAAGTATTCGGTCCGTAACAGTAAGAGAGAGAGAGACGAGAGTGGGCGAAATTCATAATTCATTTGTGATGGCGCTTTAACAAGTCGTTTAAGGAACGGTAAAAGCGGATTTAGAATGATAATTTAAGGTACCAAGCACATCACATCTCAGTGCGTGCAGTAGTGCCCATTAGCGCGGAAAGCAAATCTTGCGAATGTGCAGGAAGAACCATTTTTTTGTTTTCTGTGCAGTACCTTGCACTTTATTTTAAAACAGAATATATAACTTATTCATTATAATAAATACTTGTATTTGAAGAGATACGGTGAGATTGAAGTAATCTTGTCGGATCATTTTTTATTATCTTCTATTTCTACAACCTACATTATATATTTCTATAACAATTAGTTTTTTTTAATTTACGCCATTTCACGAAAGAAAACTTAAATGACTTCTAAAATGACCAAAATTATTAATAAGGTTTAAAAAATTAAATAATTCATTGCGTTACCGAGAAAAATTATGAATAAATGTCAGTAGTTGAATGCTGAAGTCAATATCTAAGCGCTAGCTGTAGACCAGTGGGGAGGGCATGGATACCCGCTGTAATGCATGTCCGTAGGACATTTTAAGTCCTGGGTCCTCCGTTACTAGAAATGCACGTCCTGGGACATCACTTCATGGGACTAGAAGTCCTCCGGACAACTGTTACTTATTATTGTAAGTCCTGCAGAGAGAAATCGATGTCCTAGTCCGACATATTTTCCCACCTGAACTATATATATACCTTTAAAACTGAAATATTCCATATTAAATATCAAGTCTGTATATGAATTGATATCCCCAGATATTGCTTTGTGTGTCTATTGTTGGTGAAGAATATGTAATTTATCAAGTATAGAATGAAATTATGTTAATTATCAATTATATGTAGACAGCTTTATTCGGTTAAATATTTTTCAAATAAAAGAATTCCCAACCCATCTAAATTAAATAAATGATATAGAGAAAGAAAGAAAGAAGAACCAAAAATTACAAAATTATATTAAAATTTTATTAAATTACTAATGTTTTTTATCAAATCAAATCATATCACTCTACAAATAATTTAAAAATTGTGTCATTCTCTGCCACTTTTAAGATAATTCCCTCCACAATACGCAACATGTAGGCGATGTATTTGGTTTGGCCGCGCACCTCGTATGGACCCAGCTATAGTTCACGGTTCTTGTCACATTTACGGTCTGATATCCGCGTTCTTTTTTAGCACCTTGGTGCTCATTGAGATTGTCTGTAATGAGAAGGACATTTATATGCTTAAGACTTAAGATGCGTTTATATTCATGGGTCGCAGACCCGTAGCTGGGGGAGGGGGGTTCGAAAGAACTGCCCCTTTTGGTCCACTCTGGGTAAAATTTGATCAAGGTACATGAAGTTTTTATGGGAAAAGGTCCACTTTTTTCAGAAAAAGAGACCCCCTTTTGAAATTGCTGGCTACTGGCCTAGTCGTTTAACGTTTCATAAGAAATGTATGAATAAATATTTTTATCTTAATATCTGACCTGTAATAAATTTCAGGTTCCATTTTTTACAATGTTAAAAAGTTACTAAAAAACTAAAATGACAGTGAATGATTTACTGTCTGAGGTTTACTTACTTCCTGGATGATATACCTTTTATCATAATCTTGTTTATGCCTCTCTTGTGCTTGGACAATATTTTTTAGTATGGCCTGACCCGCTTTTGACATAGCGTCTGATCTTCTCCCTATTGGTTTTTTAGGAGGACTATTGGATTCACTTTTGTTCGTGTTCTCCGTCATCTGACCCACTTCCAGTGCAGTCCAGTAGAAAGCACAGGTTCTCTGGTAAAGAAAGATTATTGTATTTACAAGGTAACTTTTTATCAAAATTTTTCATAAACCATTTCTTGAATTATTTTTTTCGCGCATAAAAATAGCTAAATGAGAGCTAATACATTTTTCCATACCAAAATAACATCAATCGTACCATAAACATGCCTATAAAATAGTTTTTGTTTAGAATTTTAAAAAGATGCTAAAAATATAAAGTAGTTTAGTTTCTACAGAAAATATGGTTTAGATTTCAATTTGGTGAATACAGCGGAGAAACATGGGTTACATAGGTTACATGGGTTACGAACTCATCTAAATCCTGTTGTTGCTTTTTCAGCCAGACGCCTCACCCATCGGCCTGTGGGGAGACCATCTGAAAATTACCGATACTTATCCCTTCGTGTTTATAATAATTGTACGAACATAATTGATAATACTTGTACATATATGGACATTTATTTTGTAGGATTATGTTTCTGAATATGTGTAAAAGGAAATTATGTCCGACAGAAATATATGTCCTGGTTCCGTATAAATACAGTAGGAAATCTAGGTCCAGGTAGGACAGTACATCTCAGGGAACGTGTGTTCACAGGACATGTAGAACCTCCGATCCTGGGGGACATGCATTCCTTTCACACCGGCCAGTATTTACTCAACGGCCATAGAATAAATTCATTAAGAAACATTAAATGTAATTATATGTAATAACCATTAATTCTATCAAAAAAGAAAAGAAGATACAATGAAAATTTCACAGTGATCAATCGACGAACTACAAATGCTGAGTTTATTAATGTTTGTCAAGTCATACTATAGATGCCAGGAATGTGGAGGAATTCTCATCTCTCTGAGACATTGTCAAGTCGAAAGTTAAAAGCCCGGCAGCATCAGTTCTACCCTCTTGTTTGGCAGCTTGTATTTGGTGCAGCACCTGATGAGGTTTATCATTTACTCCGAGTTAATTGGGAAGATAATCGAGTATTTTATTTACTGTTGTGCTAGGTGAGACATTATTGTTTGAGTTATCTGTGCACGATTTATAGAACAAGTCGCGTACAATAAACGCCGTTTTTATTTAGTCCTGTTATATCTTGGCAACCACTGAATTATGTATATAATAATAATAATAATAATAATCTTCTTCTTATTATTATAGCAACCAGTCAGAGGGTTGTCGGCGAGCCCCATCTCTGGAGTTAGAGGCTAGTGACGCACAAAGTTAATGAAAGTTAAAAACAAGTGGTAATAAAATCCATTTTCAGTTTATCTTGTTACAAAAAAGTCACTGAACGGAATCAACTTTTTGTAACTGCCCGGTTTTTTAACTATTGGTTTCTCTAGTTTATAACGTGGGATTGTTTTTTTTTTATTAGCGATTTGTTCGCAAGCCTATTATCCAAACCCAATATAGAGGTGCATTTCATAAGCTGTTCAAAATGTCACAATTCTAAAAAAATAAATAAAAAAAGTTGTATTCGATATTTTAAAACGTATGTGTGTGTAGAGCAAAAATCCACATGTAATTTCTATCATGGTCTAATATTATGTACTAGTAAGAAGCATTTAAGCGGAATGTTTTGTAACATATCAGGGGCGGATCCAGGATTATTTGAAGGGGAAGGGGCGAAGCGGACCCCCCTCCCCTTGGAGCGGGGTTCGTGGCCCCGAAAATTTTTTGGTATTTTAGAGGGAGAAAGGTGCCATTTGGTACGGTTTAGAACTACGATTCAGCTAGTCAAAATTCTAATTTCCAGAGGGGGGGCATTGGTGTGATTTGGTGTGATCTAGCTGTCCAAGCACTTAGTGCAATAGGTAACAAGGGGTTTTATGTTGTCAACTGAAACATCTATAGTGTGTACTTCGACATTTCTGATATAAAATTTGCAACACGGTTAAAAATAGTTCATTTATGCTTCTTTTACTGGCGGTGTGCTGCATTTTTTCCTTTTATGATATTCAGTGACAAGCAAACTAAAATCGCGCAGAAATAATAAACGCTCTATAAAGAAGATTATCATGTTTTTATTAATGTTATACTTGTAGGAAATAAAGTAAAGAATAAAACCACTGCTGATCGAATTTTTAAAGTGAGTAAATCGCTTCCACAGCTGAAGTTTTATAATCATTCTCCGGTAATGGGGACCGATTTGGCCAAAAACTGCGAAAAATAAAATTTGCGATTTGACCAATTTATTATGAATCCATGAGAAGTACATGTCATGGACGGTTATTAGGCGAAAGGGGTACCTTTTTGAATGGTCTATTAATTAGTTACATATCAAACTATCTTGATGTCCAAAGTACCATGTAGGCCCTACGTTACTACAGTTTTTTCCAACATTTTCTTACATAAAAAATATTATATAAAATTCTCATTTTTAAATACTTCCAATAGTTAGAATACCTTTTTTTAATGAATATGCTAGCACTGTTTGATTAAAATACTATTACAACTTTAGTTTCAGCCAAAGCCCGCCAAACTGATGACGTGTTACTCATTTGCATACTCATCTGAAACCAATATGGCCGTTAACGAGAGGAAGTGATCTGAGGTGTTTGTTGCGTCTGAAAAATTAAAAAAGAGAAAAATATGACAATCGTACCAGTGGATAGTTCAAACTAGGGTGTATGTAGGGAGAGCAATAGAGAGTCGGAGGGAAGTGAAAGACAACATAAGTGATACGAGAGGTGATAACATGAGACGGTGGACGTGCAGCATGTTGGTAAGTTTTATTTTCCGCTTTGCATATTGATGTGACTTAAAGATCATGGAGTTAATTTGATTGGATTTGATTGCCATAAAAAAAGAATGAGGTGACGATGAATATTAACGGTCATTAACTACCACTACCACTGCCAGTAGTAGGGACAGTCTAAATTTCATAGAAATTAGAATCTGATCCAGATCCAGTCGCCATTCAACAACCTACGTGAAGGGAAAAGGTAGGCCTTACAAATTAATTGCTTCTTATGCATATATATATATATA